AATGTGAATATTTGTAGGGATACGCTAAATTAGAAGAGGGTAAATCGGTGAAATTGGTGACCGACGATGCAGCGAAACGTGGAGGGTCTGCTAAATGTTTCTGGATCTCTTACTCTGAATTGCCACGCGTGTGCCGAGCTGCGGACAGAATACTGATTGATCGAGGCGCTGCTTTGTTGCAAGTCTCCTGCATCCGTCAGTTGCATATTGTATAATCGATAGAGAAACGATCGTGTAAATCTTAACAGAAGCTAATGAAATCACGTTCGATGCAGATGAAAAAGCTGTGACTTGTAGGGTCGTTAAAGCTGGTATCGTGAGAGATAACAAATTGGTACAGTTACTAGACAGTATAGTCTCGTTGCCGCAAATATCGGACACGGACGCCGAGCACGCGAGACTGGCCTCGACGTTGGAATGCGATTTTCTCATAATGAATCATACACGTAACGGGACGATGTTGCGCGGGATGAGAAGTCGCTTGAAACAAATGGGTATGAATTGATTGAACTGTACGTTACACGAACGATTCGAAGCAATGCACTTGATGCAAACAACAAACGTCGCAAATCGACATTTGATTGGAAGGTGTTAGCAAAATTTGCGTCGTGGCCAAGATCTCCACGCAGCAAGGTTTGGAGAATTTCGACGAGATCTTAAGTTCAGCCGATGCTATCCTCCTCGACAGAAATAATATCGCAGTGGACGTGGGCAACGAGAAATTGTTCCTAGTCGAGAAAGTGATAATTGCAAAATGCATCAGGGTAAGCATTTATCTGTTAAATATATATTTACACAAACGAACGATTAGACAACGTTGAAAGATGAAAGAAAAATTCAACATTTGGTAACGTTCAAAATCCTAATAAAAAAGCTAATTAGGTCGATTTCCCTTTCCCCGTAGATAGGGAAACCAATTGTGTTAGGCTTTCAAGTATATAACGACGAAAAGTTGAATATTGACATGAATCTAATTGCACACGCTGTTCTAAATGGAGTCGACGGCATTTTCCTCAAAACCGGTGCTATGAACGCGAACGATATTACTAAATTATTAAAAGCCGTTGACATTGTATGCAGAGAAGCTGAAAGCGCTCGATGGCAAAAGGAAATTTTCGATGAATTAAGCTATAAGGTATTCAGGATATTGAGTCGAACTTAACTGATATTAATCGAATGTTTATATAAATTTTGGTAAAGAATGGTAATATAAATTGATTGGAAAATTGTATGAATCGATTTCTTTTTGATTAACGTAACCTTGAGAATA